CGCTTTGCAGAACACCTACGCTCGGTTCGCAATAAACAACTGCACCTCCCAGTCGCGAACCATTTCAACTCCCCCTTCCATTCCTCAGACGACATGTCCATCCTGTGCCTCCTGCAGTGCCACAACGATGTCACCTGAAAGTTGCAGGAACAGCACCTCATATTCCGCTTGGGAACCCTGCAGCCCAATGGTATCAATGTGGACTTCACAAGCTTCAAAATCTCCCCTCCCCCTACCGCATCCCAAAACCAGCCCAGCTCATCCCCGCCTCCCTAACCTGTCCTTCCTCCCACCTATCCCCTCCTCCCACCTCAAGCCCCCCCCCCCCTTCCTTCCTACTAGCCTCGTCCCGCCCCCTTGACCCGTCCGTCCTCCCTGGACTGACCTATCTCCTCCCTAACTCCCCACCTACACTCACCTTTACTGGCTCCATCCCTGCCCCTTTGACCTGTCTGTATCCTCTCCACCTATCTTCTCCTCTGTCCATCTTCTATCAGCCTCCCCCTCTCTCCCTATTTATTTCAGAACCCCCTTCCCCTCCCCCATTTCTGAAGAAGGGTCTAGGCCCGAAACGTCAGCCTTCCTGCTCCTCTGATGCTGCTTGGCCTGCTGTGTTCATCCAGCTCTACACCTTGTTATCTCATGGTTTGTTATAATTGTCAGACTGTTGCAGTTTCTGGTGCCCTTGGTCAGTGTCCAGTTGTCTATCCAATTTTCTGTTGTTTTTTTTAATTTTTTTTTATACGACCAGTTAAGAGTCAACCACATTTCTTATGGTCTGATGCATTTAAACCAAAGCAGGTAAGAACAGCAAATTTTCTCCCCTCCAAGGCATTAGTAAATCAAATGGGTTTTTACAACAATCCACAATGGTTTCATTGTCATCCTTGGACTTTTAATTCCGGATTGTGAATTAAAACAAGCATGCAGCCTTCTGCTATGGGTGGGATTCGAACACCGGAGATCACCTCCACCTCTGGTGACAATCCCACTATTCCATCACCTCTTGTAATTCCATATTAAATACTGCAGGGATTGTAGATAACTGTTTATACAACATACTGCTTTGATCACAGTTTATTGATGGTCCTATCCACTGGGTCTTTGAGCGTAGCAATTCAACTTGACCAACTTTTTTGATGTTTGCTCAGATGAAAAAAAGTGACTTATAAATTTTTCACGAGACTGATATATTTCGAAAAAGCTGTCGGTGTGAGCTTGTTATTTTTTCGTATATTAAAACTTGAAATAGACTTTTATAAATGGGAACACATTTGTTCACCTATACAATTATTTCACTTCAGTAATCTTGTTCGTTTTTGTAAAAGACTCCCATTCTAATTTAGCTTCTATATTATTATTTTTTCCCATTCTGGACATTAAACACTGGCTAATATTTAATATGCCTCCCTGATTATTTCATTACTCAGGATTAGATCTAGCAAAAACTTTACTTCTGCCACCATTTCACCATACTGATTCAGGAAGAACTGTACACCTTTTAGGAATTCCATTCGTTTTTAGTTTACTCCTTAATCATAATGAGAACAATACCTTATGTTCATTATTCCTACCCCTTCCTGAATTGTCAAACTTCCCCTCTGGAACAGGCACAATGGACTGCATTGTGCTGTCAGTGGTGTATCTGTGAATCAATTTCCTTTCTGCAGTCAGGTGGGGTGGGGGGTCTGTACTACAGCCTTAAGGATTACTGAATTGTGTTGGCACTATTACCAGAGCTAGAAAGTTGTGAATTCAAGCTCTTCTTTGAGGAATTGTGTGCAAAAATCCAGGCTGATAGTCTAGTGTGGTACTATGGAGGACAAGAATGTTCCAGGTGCCAACTGTTTAATTAAGACTCCAACTACCCTCTTACAGATGTAATAGATTCAAAAACAATTGCAAAGAGCAGAGGAATATCTGCCAATGTGTTAGCTTATTTTTGCCTTTCAATCAACGCTACTTGATCACTTTTCAACATCCAGCATCCTATTTAGATTTGGTGGATGCTTTTAAAGCTGGAGGTCCTTCCTGCCATTTAATCCTTTCCCATTTATCCAAGCTGGGGACCAGCACTAATGCATGCTGGCTTGTCTGTGCCAGTGGCTGGGTTCTTCATTGTCAACAAGTTCCAAAGCGGAACTTGACTTGGAGCATTCTGGCTTGGAAACAGTGGTGATACAGTACAAGCCACAGTAGTTCTTCCTTAACCAAAATCTAAACCAAAACAAGTTCTGGTCACCCTATTATTGAAAGAGAGTGCAGGAAAGATTTACTAGGATGATACCTGGACTGGAAGGTTTGAGTTATAAGGAGAGGTTGGATAGACTTGGACTTTTTTCCCTGGAGCGTGGGAGACTGAGGGGTGACCTATTAGAGGTCTATAAAATCATGACTCTAAATGCTGGAGAAACTCCACAGCAAGTCTAGCAGTATTTGTGGAGAGAGAAACAATTAATGTTTAAGTCCAGTATAACTGTTCCTCAACAGGTTTAAGACTCCATCTCCCCTCTAACAGATGTAAATGCTCCGAACATCTCTCAATATGTTGGCATATGTTGGCAAAACCTGCCTTTCAACCACCACCACTTCTCTATTTGCTTTCAGAAGATGAGGTCATTGGAATGCTGGTTGATCATTCTCCAACGTCAGCCATCCTCTTTGAATTTGGTGGTTTTTACAGCTGGATGTCCTTTGAAACATTTAACGCTGTTTCTCTCTCCACAGATGCTGCCAAACCTGTCATGTGTCCAGCAATGTTTTTGTTTTTAGGTTTCTGGTAGCTACAGTATTTTATTTTTATATTCTTCAAAAGTTGTTGCAATGGGCAAATGAAACTGGCTATAAGGAGTGTTATCAATAATGACAAGTAATTTAGTATTTAATTCCATAGCTATGCCTAATCACATTTGTCCTAATCAACCTATTAGATTTATCCAATATTCTCTGCAGTTTGTCTTTTCTCCTATCCTCATTTGTGACAATTGAGCCACCGACTTCCACTGCATTGGTACATATGCATTGGTGAAGTATTGCAATGGTTTGCCACTGTTTTCTGTAGCATAGCTGATCAACAGACTTGAACCTGAAGCTTCTGGCTCAGAGATTGCAATGCTACCATTGTATCAGATGATCTTGGCTCTCCATCTGAAAAGCTGAAGAACATTAATGTAATATGGAATATCTTACTCTGATCTTGTACATGCAGTGCAGCTTAACAACTAAAGCAAACTAAGCTTTTATCTCTTTTAGGTACAGTTGAGACTGGAACGAGTAGCAGCCGTGAAGCCTGGTATCACAGGACTGAACCAGTAGTTTGTGGGGAAAAATATGCCTGTAATGCAATGAAAGCCAATATTTCCAACCCATTCAAGATTGTAGTATTAACTTGAGCTTTCATGATAATAGTTATGTTTGTTTAATGAGTGAACTTTCCTCCCAATTTGTGTCACTCAATTGTTTGTTTTCTCCATGAAATAAAGACTTGAATGTATTTACACTGATTTAAATGTATTTTTCACATTTGTATATTTAAGGCAACTTCAGCGTACACACGTTTCATAAATATTCCAATACTTTCATGGGATGTAGATGTCACTAGCAAGGGTAGCATTTGTGCCTATCCTTTTGGACATGTGGGAGAGGTAAAAAAGGGAAGAAATATTAATTGTTACCACTTGAAGCAAGATAAAACTATAGATTGGCTAATCAATATGTTGCATGCAACTGAGGTATGTTGAATATTCTCTTCACCTGATCCCTGGTTTATTTATTTTTTAATTCACTCAAGATGTGGATGTTAGTGCCTGTCCTGTGTTGCCCTTGAAGGTGGTGGAACACTACTTTCTTGAACTCACAGTCCACGTGGTGTAGATAAACACGTAATGCCCTCACGGAGAGAATTCCAGGACTTTGACCCAGTGAGAGTGAAGGAACATCCTTACATTTGAGTCAGGATGGTGACTGGCTTAGAGGAGAACCTGCAGGTGGTGGCATTCCCATGTATCTGCTGATCTTTTCCCTCAAAATGGAAATAGTTGTGGGTTTGGAAAGTGCTTTCTAAGCATCTTTGGTGAATTTCTGCAGTGGGTCTGATTAATAGTACACAGTGGTAATGAGTTTTGGTGGCAGAGGGAGTGATGCTTGTGGATGTGGTACCAATCAAGCAGGCTGCTGTCAAGCTCCTTTTGTTGTTGGAGCTGCAGCCATCCAGGCAAGTAGAGTGTTTCATTAAACTGCTGACTTGAGCCGTTGTAGATGATAGACGGACTCTGGGGAGCTGGGCTTCACCAAGCAAGTGCTGCTTGACAGCACTGTTAATGACATCTTCCATCTCTTAAATGAGTGAGAGTAGACTGATGGGGCAGTAATTAACTGGGTTGGATTTGTCCTGCTTTCTTTACCCCCACATTATCAACTGTACAAGAGGAGCTTAGATAGGACAGCAGCAAGTTCTGGAGCACACTACCATTGCCAGAAGGTGCAGGGCCTATGGCCTTTGTAGTAACTAGTGCATTCAGCCACTTCTTGCTATTACATGGAGCAAATTGAATTGGCTGAAGACTAACATCTACGATGCCACAGAGATGGATCATTCACTCAATACTTCTGGCTGAAGAGTGCTGCAAAGAGCTTCAGCCTTATCTTTTGCACTGACATAGCAGGCTCTTTGATGACTGAGGAAATACACGTGAAGCCTTCCCCTCCGTTGCGTTGTTCAGTTGGTTGATCAATGACGAATTGAGCCACAAGATAGAGTTGAAGAGTAGTTGAAAAGTAGGGTTCTCAACAGATTGTAACTACGATTTTCTATAAGAATGAATACTAACTAGTATAACTGTTGTGAAACTGACAATAAGGATCTGCCCAATTTACAAGCCAATGATTAGCTTACATATGATAATTCATCATTACACTATAGAATTGTACAAACATCTACACTTAAGGTAGGTTAAAATTAAGGCACTTTAATTGAGGAAAAGAAAGTTGAGAATTTCAAGTAAAGGTTCATGCTACAAAAGTAGGCTTTTTTAATTAGTATCCCAAGAGTGGAAGTAAAAACATCCTTTCAATGTCAATTCCCAGCATTAAGTCAATTTAGATGTTAAGTGTACTTCATGCCAGAACCATTTTACAGATTATAAATTTGAATAATTGAATTTCACTATTACAAATTCACAACTAAGTTACATCAACTTTTAAGTTGGGAAGCTCTCAAAAATTGCACAAGTGCCAACTAGACTAGCCTGAGGCTACCATAATACTTTTTTTGTTTTAATATTGTGGTTTTAGTCACTGCTATTTCACTTTAAATACTGAAATTTGTTTTGTATTGGTGCAAAAGCTATTCATTTTTTTAAAAAAAACACTATCCATAGATTAAGTACTGTTCTCCTGTCTGCACTTTGACAAAGAAGTGCAATGCTCCACAGAGTGGCAAGCTGAATTGTACTCACACATTATATAGATATCATCATTGCTAATATGATCATTTTAGTTACGTGTTGTGCAAGCAAAGAAATATTACAGAATAGTGCAACATGGTTTCTTTTAAGGTTGTGTCAAATGTAGATTTCATTAATTTAATCTCTTTCCTTTATACTTCTCCAATTTGGACAAATATGCCAATCTTCATGGTACAAAATATCAAACCTGAAGGTGCCCAGTACCCAACTAAAGTAAATTTCAAATTACCTCAGTCAATTATGGAAAATAGCTGCTTACATCCAAAAGAGCTCGTGCATATCCACAAACAAGGGAAACAGACTGGTTTTTAATACCTCACATCCATTGCCTCAATTTCAGTTTGAAAAGTGATATTTCAACAGCTTAGGAATGCTAATGCAAAGTTTATATCCAATGAAGCAAGCAGTCACACGTATTACTATTGGTGTATTAATCCAGTGCACTGTAAATAATGTGAATTCTGGCTTAACTAATCAAATGTAGAGCAGAGATTAGGTCAGAACTACAGAAATCTGAGGCAGCAAGATAGAACACCCAATTACCCTTCATAGTGCCAACCACTTTTTTTGAAACTCATTTGTCTACACAACTAAGGGTGAAAGTGCTGCATTCTTTGTATATTAATGTCCATTCCAACATCTGAAAATAAAGACAAAATAAATTCACAAAAATCAACTTAGTATACAGAACATAAAGTGCAATCGGTTCTTCATTCTGCAAGATAAACTGCTGCTTGTCAGTTAAATAAAATCAAAATATATGCATTCACATAGCTTTCACTCAGGTACGAGATCAACATTTAAAATTCCACCAGCTGAGTTCTTCAAGATCTTCTCAAAGATGAAATTGTTCAATTTTTGTCTTGCTTCTCTGGTTTTTCTTGTAATCTATACTCAACTAGAATAGCATTTCCAGTTTCTTTCGCAGTGCGTCGTGCCACAGCCTTGATACCCAAATGATCAATGTTAAAAGCTGTAACACCAACGTTGATGGCGGAGTTCACAGCATTGTCTGTAGCTTTCCCAGCAGCAGAGCCATACCTTTATAAGAAAGGAGCATTTTGATAATTTCAAGAAGCAAAGCAAAGCAACCAGAAAAAATGCCAGATTTTTGCCATGCTAACATGCTGCGCACTTTACCCAATTAATTTTATCCAAATGTTAAAAAGGTTCTCTTTCCGACATGCCAGTCCTTTTCTGGAACTTGATCACAGATAAATTTGAATACATCTGCACATTACAAGTCAATTAACAGAATCACAATACAAGCAGCAAATTTGACTGTATTAAAATATACAGAATTAGCACAGTTGGCTAGAGAGAAGAGATAAGGATCAGGTTTTGATTAGAGGCTGGGACCCTCCAAGTGAGAGCTGCAAGAACAAAAACAAGAAACAGAAGGACGACATTGATTCCTCTAATCCTGCCTTGCCATTCCATAAGACCTCTGGCCTCAATTACCATTGTGCCAGCTTCTTACAAGCCTCAACTCCAATATTTCAAAGTTTATCTACTTTCTCTTTAAATACTTTCACTGATGTGAAGGGTCTGTTTCTGTGTTGTATGAATCTATGACTCCATCTAGCTTCCACACTTTCTGGGGTAGAGAATGCCAGACATTTGTTATCCTCAAGAAATTCTTTGTACCAGTGATGCAACTCGAGGCCTATATACCACCATGATTTCTTTCTCTTTGCCATTTCTCATCTCCACTTAGATTATTCTCTTATCACAATTTATTACACCTATATCACTACTCACCACTGCATTGAAACATTACATATTAACAATGGTATCCCATCTTTCCTTTATTCTCTATTCCTCCACAATATCAAATATCCTTGAATGTTGAGTACTAATCCTGGTCACCATGCAACCACATGTCTGTAATAGCTGTAAAGTCATGTTCATTTATTTCTATGTGTCATCAACTCATTTTCTGTTTACAAATACTATATGCATCCAATTAGAGTCTGAACCTTTGATTTTTTTTGGCATTAACAACAATTTTGGTTTTAATTTCTGCTGCACTTTCTGCTTATACTTTCTACCCCTTCCTGTCACACTTAGATTTGATTGCAGGGAAGTGAAGACACACTTATGCCCTCTCATCTAGTCTTTAAAAACAAAAATTCAAAAGGGTTCCCCTTAATTGAGTCCTCCCCACCAGACCCCTCACTAATTAGTTTGAAGCCCCATTTATAACACTCGTTACACAATTCACTAGAATACCATCCCAATGGAACAGCTCATTCCCTAGTATGGGTGCCAGTGCCCCATGAATTGGATCCTATTTCTCCCACACCTGTCTTTGAGCCAGGCATTTAGTTCTCTAATCTTATTTACCCCACATCAATTGCATGTGGCTCAGGTATTAGTCTAGAGATTATGTCCTTTGTGGTTCTGCGTTTTAACCCAGAGTAGCTTGTAATTCCTGAACAGGACCTCCTCCTTAGTCTTGGTACCTATGTAGACATGAGAACTGGATCCTTTCCCTCCCACTTCAAGTTCCTCATCAGCTTGAACCTTGGTGGCAACAGACTTCAGTTCTCTGCCTTTGCCACATAGAACATAAGGGGACATTGCATATTATGACGTCAAGGAGAAACAGCCTATTCCCTTGACAAGAAATAGCAATATTGGCATCACCATGTTCTTCTGGCTGAGATTAGGTAGCACAGCACAGGGATGATTTCTGGGATTATTCTGAAATATAAATCACACATCAGTGTGAGCCATCATCAACAATGAAAAATCTTGGTGCTGGTGAGATTTTTCAGTTGACAATAATCAGATCTGCAGCAACAACACTAAAGCAGTTGAATAACTATTTAAGATGTTTGATTAACCCTCCTCTAAACTTGAGGAAGTGATGTACCAATGATGGTAAAAGGGACCAAATTTTAGAAATACATTAAATACCAGTTTATATCATTGGCAACATAAAATTAGGTTAATGGTAAATAGGGATTCTATTTTTCATTACTAAATTTGACAAATTATTAGATTACCTCCTATGTGGGTAGACTAATTCCCCATAGAATACAGGCTCAGAGGAAAGAGAACTAACAATCAGTAGGACACTGGAGAAAATAAGTCAGTCAGCATGAGAACACCTAAATGATTCACAAAAAAAATCATAATGCATTGTCAGAAAGGGGAAAGCTGATTTAAAGCAATTAATATCAAGTGAATTAAGATGCTTGAAGCAATTCAATTCGTTTTTGAAATGTAACTTGTGTATCTGTAACAAAGTATGAAGCACAGTTATGAACAAAATAATGTACTGTTTTTGTAAATTGCATTTCTAATTAATTCTGCTTTAAATAAACAAGTACTTACTTATGTTTCACTGTGTGGACGGTCTCTGCTGCAACATTCTTGGCTATGCACTTTGCTGCACACTCTAAACCATTCCAAACAGTGGCAAATCCTGCAAGTTTAAAAAAAACCTGCAATTTACATGAATTGATTATTCACCTAGGAGGTCACACAAGGATTTGGGGTAGTCCTCCATTTCCAGTCAATATTGTTCAAAAATGTGATTAGCTCCCAAATGCTGAGTAAGGAAACGAGAAAACATCAAATAGACCAAATCACTGGAAGGTGCAAGTAGGGCCTTTAGTCTGATGGAGATCACTAACGTAGAATGGAGCAAAGATACCATTAACACTTGAAGGCAAGGCAAAGGACTTTTATGTCAGTTCATAAGAATATAGGAGTTAGTGAAGCCTCTCAAAAACTTTGGAAATGTAGGAGTTTCAGAGAACAAGGAACCATTAACCACGAACCTTCCTTTAACATTTTGAACTTACAGTTTACAGAGGTTAAAGTGAGAGGTTGGAGGAACAGAACCTCAAAGATTGTTAATTATGCATTTTAATACTAAATAGTAATATTTCAGTGAGGAAAAACATTTTTACACAAGTGCAGCAGTCTCTAACTCAGGAAAGCATTAACAGATGGATCAACAAATAATTTCAGTCTAAAATTGGAAGATTTTTGCTAGCCAATGGGAGCAAGGGATTATGGAACTAAGGTGTATAACTGGACTGGACTTTGGTTAGGCCATAGCTGAAGCACTGCATGCAGTTCTGATCATTAAACTGTAGGAAGGATCACCAGGATGTTGCCGGGATGGAACAGTTTGTTGAGGGGGGCTTTGGAGCAGAGAAGGCAGAGAGGAGACCTGTTTGAAGTGTAAAAGAGACATGGACAGGGCAAACAGGAAGCAGTGGTTCCACTTAGCTGAAGGGTTAAATGACAAGGAGGAGTAAATAAGGTTAAGGTGAAAGGCAAGAGATTTAGTCGGAGCGTGGGGAAAAATGTCTTCACCTGGAAGGTGGTGAGAATTTGGAATGCACTGCCTGGGAGTGTATTTTGAGGCAGGAAACCTTGCCACCTTTAAACAATTTATGTAGATGAACACCTGAAATGTAATAATATTCAAGGTTTGGGCCAAGTGGTGGAAAGTGAAACTAGAATAGATTTAGAGTTTTTTTTTGAGAATGTGGACTTGATGGGCCATGGGTCTCCTCTATACAGCATGATTCTATGGTGGCTAAATGGGAGTTAGAATATAATCAGATACAACTTCTTTGAAGAGCAGTTTAATGTGGTAACACTGTTCCAATTAACACGTTTCTTCCTTTTGGGGGCAGTTTCTGCTTCAGTGCAATTTACATTACATTCATCTACATTGAATTGAATTGCATTGCCACCTACTGGCCCAGTTATCCACTAGATTGAAAACCTTCTGATTCTGGTTGTACTGTTCCTTATTTGTCATGTTCAACTGTCAAGGAGATCTCAGCTGGAATACTGTCCACAATTCTGATCACTAAAATAGAGCATAGTTTACTCTTCAGAGTACACACACAAACTTCTGGGGACCAATAAACTTTAAAGGAACTTCAGTTTATCTTCAGAAAAAAGGAGATCTTTCAATTCTGACCAGTTGTTCGCAGTAAATCATATAAATCCCATTGTCAAAGTCAAACATTATGGAGTCAAGAGTAACAGGGAAGTGAATTAAGCATTTCACCTAGAGAATAATAAAGCTATAGACCAGGAATGGTTTATTCAAGTGAACAGTCTATTTGGAATGAAGGCAAAATGGCAAACTGGATCAAAACTGTTTCAGAAGTAGGAAGCAAAGGGTAACTGTTGATGAGTCCTATTGTTCCCAATTGGGTCCTACATGGCGTAGTACTAGACCCTTGTTTCTTGCGGTATACAAATGATTGCCTTTTAGAGGCTATTAGAAAATTTTGAGAGAATACAAAAGAAATGGTTGGTTGCTAATGATATAGAAAACTGTACACCACAGGAGGATATCAATGGACTAGTCAGGTGGATTGAACATTGACAAACGGAATTCAATCTGAAGAATGAGGCAATGCAGTTGTGAAGCCTAACAATGTATGAAAATAGTAGGAAATTAAAGCATAGAGAACAGAAGGAACTTGCAGCGTATACTCGTAGAAGTGGCTGGACAGGAAAGTACTTGGCTAACTTGCTTCTATTAACTAGATGCAGAATTGCAGTTGAGAAGTTATGCTGGAATTCTATAAAACATGTGTTAAGCCACAGTTGTTTTCTTAGGAACAGAGGAAGCAAAATAGAGACCTAATTGCAGTGATTAATATCATAAAAGGATTTAAATGCAACAAATAGGAAGGGACTCAAATCTATGCACCTTGAAAGAAAGCAGGCTTAGTGGGAATTCAAAGGAAATCTTTTCACTTGGATGGGAATATGGAACACTGTCTGTAAGTGTAATAGCAGCAGAAAATCAGCTATTAAAGTCATGCACATGAAGCACCATATCTACAGACCTAGAGATGGAGATAGGATTAACCTGAATGACTACTTATTGGCTACTATGAATACAATGGGCAGAATGGCCGCCTTCAATACAATACATTCCATTCATGGGAAGTGGGTGTCACTGGTTAGGCCAGTATTTATTGTCCACCTTAATTACCCAGAGGGCAGTTGACCACATGTGGGTCTGGAGTCACATGCAGGTAATTTACAGCAGTTTCATTAGGGAACCAAATTTAATCTTTAATGACAACTGAATGATTTCATGACCATTAGACTCAATTTCAGTCTTTTTTAATGAATTCAAATTCCACCATCTGCCACAGTGGATTTTGAACCCAAGTCCTCAGGACATTTCCTAGTTCTCTGAATTAATAGTCTAGCAATAATACCACTATAGTCTAAACAATGTGACATATTTCTAGAAGAGCAAAGAGGTAAATTGAGGTGATTAGTAAGCCTGGATGGATCACATGCCCTTCTTCTGTGCTTAAAAAGTTATGTTCAGTTATTAAAGTTCTCCACTAATCCAGATAATGCATACCTGAATGGTTATATAAATTAACATAGTATCCCTTTGATTTCTGCAAGTTTAATACAAAAAACTGATTTAAAAAGACAGTGAATCAAACATGTTTAACTACTTGGAGAAGTTGAAAGGAAGTCAAATAAAATCAACACGTACCTTGAACTCCACTTGCTGCCACCGCCAGGGCTCCATCTAGATTGGCTTTTGAATTATTATCTTTCTTTATAGCTTCTGGAATCAGTTTACTTCCATGTTTCTTTACATGTGGAGCCAGCTCTTTTCCAACAGTACTAGCAACAGCACAAAGTCCATCCACTGAGAATTTAAAACAACATCCTTAACTTCATGATTCTGACAAATTCAACTGCTCAATAAACTTGCAATAAGGAGCTTCAGTCTAACTTAAATACCAAAACCTCATTGTTGAAAACCTTATTTTACGTATCATAAATCAAATAGTAAAGACCAAACCACAGTGAAAGCTGCAATCTGTTTTTTTCCACCATTTGTCATTATATTGCTCTTGTGGGGTTGATACCTTAAATTATTCTCCCTTTACAAGCTACAGCTCCATTATGCCTTTAACAAAATTATATTTGCTTGGGTGGTTCTTGCCACTTTTTAAAAAGAAACTACAGGTGGAACACTCCCTATATACTGAGTTTACTTCCTTAAAAGCACCTCTTGTCCCATTTTTGTAGTTTACAACAGACTAGCAGGCAACTGTAGTTACCACAAAATTGCATGGTTCTCCTGGTCAGTGGCAATGCAAAAACATATGTCAATGATGACATTTAAAAAGACATCCTTAACTTTGTTAGCTGCAGAAACTTATTCTCCCAGCTGCAAGGAGGACCCATCAGTGAGCTAAGTAAAAAAAACGTTACTGCACCACAGTTTCAATGCTTTTTATTCAAGCACTCTTTAATGTTTCCATTCCTTGGAGGTGTACGTACAGGTGAAACACAATCACGTTTTTACAATCATTTTTAAGCATAGTTTTAATTCCAGTTTCTCGCCCCACCATTCATCCCTCCCATTTCTGCTCACAACCACCAAAACCCAACAACTGCTCTTCTCCTAAGTACCTTCTACAACCTCTCCCATGCAATCTCTATACAATCATTCTCAGTTCCCATCCCATGTGCCATAGTTGGGCAATCAGTTAGCTTAATTCAGTGGAGCAGCTTAATTCTACTTGATGAGACTATTGACACTACAGTTTGTTGGTAATGATAACATGTTAGAATCTGTAAGGAAATATAGAAGTAAGAAATTTTCAAATCGTACTGAGTGCAACCTAGTTTTTTATAATAACACAATAGAGTTCTACCATCTTGAGATAGTCAATTCCTATGTAAGCCATTCCTTCAATGTAGCCTACTTTGATATTATTTGGGCAACATGCTGAGGATTCTTTGGTCCAGTTCATCTGCAGAAACAGTGTATCAGTGAAAATACACTTGGCTATTTATCATTATCTATGCATTGGATACAGGGCAAGTTATTGCAAATATCTGGATCAAAGTTCATGTTAACATTTTAGTGGTGGTTTTTATTTAAAGAGACTGTCTGAACATCTAAACAAAATATCCACACAAGTCAGAATGGAAAAAAAAAGCTATAAAACAGCAAGTGGTCTGACTTAGTTAAATAACCTTCAGATTGATTAACCTTATAAATAGAAATTTTGCAGGAAGAAAGTAGTAACACAGGGTACAAAACAGTTATAAACCATACTATTAAGCTAACAGTGATTTGGTGGTGCTTAATATTTTCATATACAAGAAATCTTGAGCTTATTTTGGTTTTTAAAAAGAAATGTTGTAGGGGTCAAAATAACATGCTTTTTCCAAGGCCTCCTCTTGATTACAGAGATCAAATTTTGATTTTTTTCATTTCTCATTCTCATTGATTAGGTGATGCTGTCACATAACAGTACCTCTAAACAACTGGCACAGAAGCAGATTTAGTAGAATTCATCAATATCTTCAATAATTACAACCTTCCATTAAATTTTTGGCCAGATCAAAGGAAGCATTGATTTCAGAGAGCATTAATTCCCACAGTGCTTAAAATCGGTACAAAACAAGACATAAAAGTTAACAATAAAACACTTTTTCAAAACAACTGTTTCACTTTGACATAGCCACAATTTTAACACATCTTCCAGAGACTGGTGAGCTCACAGCTAATGTTTTCATTGTATATACACAAAGCTGGAAAATGTCGCCCAAGCACTGACTATCCTGCATACTGCAAATCCGATATCAATCCCAGATTTAAATTTAACAATGAATAGTTTTGATTACAATAGCAGCCACTACATTTCTCCTTCCTACATAAGATCCTGAACATATGCAGCCTTAGGCTAGAGATTCTACATTAATTGCAAGGAATTCATTCCCTCAGCAATATCAAGTTTTCCCTGGTTTGCAGTTAGATGGGATTTCTTTTTGTTCAATTTAAAACCATTTTCACACTTTCACAGCCTCCTCCTCCATTTCCACGTACCCATTTCTCACCCAGCCAGTCAAAGTTTAAACTTTTAACAACATTGCAAGTTAGTCAAGAGCATGCACAAACCACAGGAATCCTTTAAACGTGATCCAAAGATATACCTCCAGCTAATATCTACTGGCTTTTTTCATACTGTGACCTGTAGCCCCAACTGGAAGTTAAAACTTGCCATGGTCCCAAACATATAAGAGCTGGGATGGGATGGTAGGGGAAAGGAGGGATGCTTGAGAGTGGGGAGGATGCCCATTTAATCCACATAAATTAAGTCAGGATTTTACAAGACAGTAATGAGGCATCAAGAATCAGCCAGGTAAGCCATCCCAGTATTCAAAAACTGGGAATTTAAAAGAAGGAGTCTTACAGCTGTCAGTTGGAACTCCATAGCAACCATTGCTGTCTAGGAGCTTGTAACACCAAAATCTTGTTGGCAACCCCACTGGGAGTCACATCCAAGTTTGAGGAGTCTTTTTCTATTATTATTAACCATTTCTAGATTCGTAAGAAATCCTTAAGTGAATATTAAAGGGTATTGGTTGTTAGCTTACCCAAGAACTGGCTGACTTTTACAGCACCTCCTGTTGCTTGTCTTGCAACACTGAGTCCTTTTTCCACTGTTGGACTTATTTTTACAGGCTTATCTTCAGGCTGAATATGCATTCTCAGTTTAGAAGCTCCTTTCTGGATTGCTTTACCAGTGAATTCAGCTCCCTTAACTAAACCCCAGCTCAACCAAGAGGCCCCTGAAAAATGAAGTTAAAAAGTAGATTTTACACCATTTTGCTCAGCATACACTAACAGGCAATACATTTAATTGTGATGCTTATAGAAATAGGTAATGTAATATCCTTTATCAAATAACGTTTCCATACATATGCAGAGTACAACACAAGTATCCAAGCAGTTCCAGTCTAATTCTAACGATTAGATATTGAAACCAGCTGGAACCACAACAGCATCAGATATTTTGACATTGAGCTTATTTTATCAGTCAAGCAATGAATTTCAGAAGAATCAGTTAGCAACTCAAAAGGTTGTGAGCACTTTCAAAGTACATCCCTGATGGTGAAATTCATATCTTCTAAAAACAGTTCTCTCACTTATGTACAATAACTGCTCACCCGTTAGAATTCCACGGGCCATTTTTCCACTCCACTCTGGTATAGCCTCTTGGTTACTAACTTGTGATTCATGGCAAATTCGAACGGTCTGGCTCAAATTAAGTTCTCCAGATGAAGCTTCTGGATCCTAAGAAACAAATAAATAATTAGTAAAATACAATTAGATTCACAGCACCAGATTGGTTGCTTACAAGTAGTCAGTTAAAAGCTGTCATCCGAATTGTGTTTTCTTCCAGGATTATACAGTTCTATAAAAAAAACAAGATATTGAGATTATAATCATCCAGGAATTTATGCATTTGAGAGATACATACATTAATTTGTTTATAGGATGCAAGTGTCACTGGCTAGGTCAACATTTATTGCCCATCCCTAATTATCTGGAGGACATTTAACAGTTAACTACATTGTGGGAGTCTGGAGTATTACTGTCTTTTACAAATCAAAGCAAATAAAACTGATGTGTTCACACTCAAACACGAGTATTTCTCCTATGTCTACTACGTTAGAAACTCCCTTGTCTAGGATCACTTTGTTCACATAGGTCTACTAAGATGTAAACTGTTCACACTCCAAATTTTGAACAACATACTCAAATCTGTATAAACACAGACCTTGTGCAATGAAGATTTCAATCAAATTTATTCAAGTAAGGTGTCAATGCAAAAACACGTGTTTAAAACAAAAAGAGCCTGCTCTTGGGACTCATCGATTCCTATTCCCTCCATCACCTGTTTGATAGTCTGGAATTCATTTTGATTCCACCACCACGCACTCCCCCTCCCTACCCCTGCCATTTTCTAATCTCTTGCTTCGAATAAAACTCTGTTTCAGTTAAGCATATATTTCCATTGGTATAAGCTGACCTACAGGTCCAAAAGCATTTCAGTGAAGCATTAATTGCTTGCAGGATAAAAGCAAACTATCTAAATGTAAATAATGGCTATAAAATTCAACTCTCTTGCCTGTTTCTTGATAACATGCTATAGACTAAACCAGAGATTCCAGTCAGTTCGGTTGGTACTAAATTGAGTTATTTCATTTTTTTGCACTGTTCATGTAAATTACCGATGAATTTACTAGAGGTAAGACTAGAAAAATGATAACTGCACAATCTGGACCGCTCATTCACAAAAACAATGAGCTTACAGAAATATCTTGTATAAAAAATCTTTTCAGACTTCACAATGCATTTCCATACTTTTTTTTTTTTTTTAAGGACTCTGAAGTCTTCAAATATGCCTGAGCTCTGCAAATACATCATGATTCTTGCACAATCTCAAATATTCCTTCACTTCTTATTTAAATCTAATTTAAAAAAAAAACAATAAAATGCCTTTTCTTGTAGGGAACTAAACAAGGGGTGATGTTAATTCTTATTAATAGTTACGTTTAGTACTTTTTAGTGTGTTCACAGCAATGCACGCACTCACGTGATATATACTAATTCTAACGTTGGAGCCAAACTGAATGGCGTATTATGAAACTAAATTAAATGTCTCAATGTTCCCCGCCCCCGCCCCCGCCCCTATCTTTAGCTAAATTTCTGTTTACTTCCAACTTCAGCATTTTTGCATAAGTTAATGGATAGCAATCAGGAATAGAAGTTTTTCCTGATTCTTCATCAGCTGTGTTGAGTGGCGATGAGCATTTTTACAGGCATTAAGAGTCAAGCTCAGACTGGAGATTAACTCTGGAATTTTTCTAGTCTATATGGTTGTTACCTCTTGTCCTAACCAATGAATTATTGGTAAGTCCTTTCCTTATTTACATTTGATAAATTCAGTTTTCACCTGTGACATTCTTTACCCATTTAATCTGCTTAGCAATCTTTTCGCATCCTTTCCTACAATCAGATGGCAGTGTTAAGCTGGTTAATGTCAATTTTTATCCGTTATCCAAATATTAGCATTTTAAAAAATTTGCTAATTATATCAAGTGTTTGAAACTTTTTGTGACCTTTTTTCCACAGCTTCAGTCAACTTTTCAATTACTGAAATTTACCTGAACCTTTAGATAAGTCATTTGTCTCAGCAAGTCTTCAAAGTGTTCTCTGTCTGATTGTGGCAGCTCAGAAGACAGCACTACTCCAACATAGACACGAGGATCTTGTGACATTATATCAGGAAACATGTAGACTCCATTGTGACACTGCAGTACAGGAGACTGGCTAGGTATAAGTGGGTACACCCAATCACAAACCTAATAGAAAAGGAAATATGATCATTATTATTTTATGTCCACCTACAAATTGACCCTTAAAATGATAACATAATAAATAGTATTGCAGTTTTCACTCAATTTGTTCTCATATTACCACCTGTGCATGAAAGACCCAATTATACCAAATTAAAATTTATTCATATAATGCTTTAGACGACTCAAAGACAAAATTTAGCACTAGTTTCGAAGCATAGTTATTATCATGTAAGAAAGCGCAGCACACGGTTTGTGCACAGCATGCTCCCACAAACAGTAGTGAAATAAGTGACCAGAGCATATGTTTCAGTCACTGATTGAGGAATAAATTGTAGCCAAAAGACTGGAAGAACTCACCTGCTCCCCTTTGAATAATGCATGGAATCTTAAATCATCTCTCCAAGCTGGGTGGATTAACCATGAGAAATGCAGGGGTACAGGGATAGGGCAGGGGGTGGGTCTGGGTGGGCCGCACTTTAGAGGGTCAGTGTGGGCTTGATGGGCCAAATGGCCTGCTTCTACACTGTAGGGATTCTATAATTCTATGATTTATCTAAGTCAACAAAGTTGAACAGAAGAAAGTTTAATTCACCCGTTATTTAATGTAGGACCAGCAGCCAAACAAGGCCTTCATAGTTATGAAGTTTAGGATGGATAGTGAAAAAGAAAAGCATATATCTGGAAGTTAACCACATACTAATAACTTCACTGATCAGCGTAGAGATAGGATATGTGGGCTACAATGAAGGAACCTTGAGGCATACCACAAATATCCACATACATCAGGGAAAAAAATCTCTCTCACGAGATAGATTGAGCATTTTGGCACCACAAGATGGAAGCTGGGAGAAGTACCAGAGAAGCAGGATTGTTTCACATTGCTCTTCTTATTCAGAAAAGAAATCCATGTTAGTATAACAAACTGCAGTTTAAAAAGCTAGTAATGACACTGACCAGAGTTTAGGAGGAATGGGTTTAAGAGTCCATGCAAGAGGTAGTGAAGAGCAGTTTGTGACTTAGCTTGCATTGTATGATAACTGATCTGATAAGGAGAAAGACTGCAGCTATTATAAAAGGGCAGAAAATAACAGCTGCGATCACTCAAAGAAATATTATTTAGGTTGCATTTCTAATTTATTCTGACTAGTTTATGTTTAATAGGTCACAAAATTCTTTAAATTCATTGGCTTAAGCCAAATTTATGCATTAACCTTTTGAAAGGACAAACTTATCGAATGCCATTGGCACACTGGAATACTTATAGTTATCAAATGAACAAGTCGTAATTTCTGTAGATTTAGCTGAAAATCTCCTTGGATTGTTAGATAAAAGTTAGATTCACACTAATTCTCATTCAAGCAAACTGTTATTACAATCAAAGTTATTTTTAATATTTTTAATTTTTAGCACAGTTGTGACTAGGTGGATATGGAGACAAAGACAATTTCCACATTTAACAACATCTCAAGTGAGGCCAAATATTCAATATCCCAACATAAAAGTTAAATCCATTTAATGGCACTTCACTATAAACTACTTGCCGAGTTTTCTAATTCCAGTCTTAAAAACAATTAATAAAAAAGATAGCTTGAATTTATAAAACTGAAAATGATATCCATAATTTCTTCATAGGTTTTCTACATCAGGGAGTGTGTATTCTAACTGCATATTCTAGATTTAGCTTTCTTATGCATTTGCTTAAACATAGGGACTTAGTGTGGGTCAACGTGTAAGACTTTGTCTTGCCCTTATTCCTTATTTTCTCTTCAGCTATTCACCAGTTGCTATTTGAGTGAGAAATTTACCCTCAGTAAAATTTCCTAACAGCTAAACAGAATATACCCGGTAAATGGTTCAAAGTTCTAGCCTTTGTGTATGATGAAGAATAAAATAAACAAAATAACTAAAAATTCCAAGCTTCTATTATACAAGACTTCCACAATCCCTTCAAATTATTATTTTGCAAAAACATTTTGAATTGCAGTACAAATTGTGAAAATAAATACCATATAGTAGGCATCTGAACCAAAAATGTTAACAAATAAATTTTCTGCAATAATCTAAAAACATACCTGCAGAAAGGAAGGTGGCCGGTTTTGTGCTGCATCAGCATCTGAATCAGAAAATGTCACAATGCGGAGGTATCCTGGATAGGAGGGTGCACTCACTTGCCCATCACGTGTTACATAGAATATCTGCACTCCTTGCTCAATTAAGATGAGCTCACATGCATCTATACCAAGTGATTCCAATGGAGGAGGATGGGTCCTTTGCCCAATAGCATTACCACCAACAACAGCAAACTCGCCAGATTCAGTTCCATAGGAAATGGTCTTGTGTCCTTCCGCAGCCTCAGGCGTGTATACTGGGGGCAGCTCATTCAGTGCACACGGAACATCTGCTGACAAACTAGCCGCTATGTTCAAGGAGCTTCCATTGGTAGTTGGTTTCACATTCATGGCAGAAGATTGAGTGTTTGACAACACTGAAGCTTTCTCTTCACAGGGTATTGGTACAACTGGATACAGTCTTGACTCCGCTTTTGAGTTATCAGGTCCTGAAGTTTCAGAAAATTGGTTTGTTTGATTAGATGCCATTGAATTGTCTTCATGCTCCAAAATAGATAACCTTGTTTGTATATTACTTAATGTTGCACACATCTTATTCTGCATTTGACGGGCTACGTCCCACTGGGGACCTGTACATTCTGGACTATTTGAAGGAATATTCAATCCTTCAATTAAGTGCCTCTCTCCTTGCCTGTAATACTGCTTTGCAACTTCTTTTTGACCATATTCATCTGCAGTGAGCCCTTTATTAACAAAGGTAAATGCCTCTTTATATTCCTCCTTAATGCGATTAAGACTTTCAGCTGCATTCATATTTGCAAAGTTGCAGTGGTCCAAACCTAACAGAAATAAAGAAATACATCTAAATGAAATGTTTTGACAGATTTAAAACCAAAGAAGCAGAACTCACATGCAAGTACAACTTAAAGCAAAAGCAGCAGTTTCCCACCTGGTACCTGGAATCACTTTCTGTTTTTTATCTCATTAAGGTTCACAAATGGTCAGAGCATTGTGAATGCCATAAAGATAGTCAGGTCAAATGTTTTGTATGTTGAATTAGATGCAATCCAATTATACAGAGTGCTATTATGTCCAAGCCCCAGAACTTTTATACTCCGGTTGTAGACTTGCTCAGCAAGCCAGTGTGTTTCGTTGCAGACATTTTGTCACCCTGCTACGTAACATCATCAGTGCACCTCCACTGAAGCGTTGGTGTTCTGTCCCACTTGTTATTTATATGCCTCGGCTTGCTGGGGTGGTTGGCATTACTTCCGGTTCTGTTTCTCAGTAGTTTGTATATCGTGTCCAGTTCAATGCGTTTGTTGATGGAGTTTCATTTGGAATGCTAGACCTCCAGATACACACTAGTCACCCTACCGTACATCAGTGACATATCAGAGATAACCCTAGGACTACTCAGACCCCTAGGTATCAGGCTAGCCTACAAACCAACAACCACCCTGCAACAGCTACTGACAAACGTGAAGGATCCCATACTCACAACCAATAAAACTAACGTAATATACAAAATACCATGCAAGGACTGTGAGAAGCATTACATAGGCCAAACTGGAAGAAAGCTGACAATAGGTATATACGAACACAAACGAGCCACCAAGAGACACAACCAATTCTCACTGATCTCAATATACATGGACAAAGAAGGACACAAATTCAACTGGGACAACACATCCATAATAGCACAAGTCAAAGAGACATGCTAGGGAATTCCTGGAGGCCTGGCATTCCAACCAGAACTCCGTCAACAAACACATTGAACTGGACACAATATACAAACCACTGAAAAACAGAACTGGAGGTAATGCCAACCACCCCAGCAAGCCAAGGCATATAAATAACAAGCAGGACAGAACACCAAACACTTCACTGGAGGCACACTTGACAATGTTACCTAGCAGGGTGACAAAACGTCTGCAACCAAACACACCGGCTCGGCGATCAAGTCTACAACCTCATCTGCAACCCAAGCTACAAATCTTCTCAAAAACTTTAAACTGTTATACTCACATTAAAAAATTTATGGATTTATCAGAACATGGTTGCTCGCCACATTTTACTAAGAATGTTGATAAAGTAGTTTATGGACTTCACTGATCACAATCCTAGAACTCACAACCTAATTGCATTGCAGGTGCACCTACATCAAATGGACTCCAGCAGTTTAAGGCAGCAGCTCACCACCATCTTTCAAGAGCAACTAGGCATGAGCAAGAAAAGCTGACCTATCGAGTGATGTTCTCATCCCATAAGTGATTGGAAAAAGTCCAAGGACTTAAAAACACGAGTAGGGGTGGAACTGTAAGCAACATAGTGGCTTGGGTAAGAAACTTGTTAGGTGCTAGGAAGGTAGGAACAATCGATACTCAGTGGCAGAACATAAATTGTTGTAACCCCAGTGTTCTGGACTTGGCTTCAGCTTTTCTGAAGAGTTATTTTGGATTTGAAACATTAACTTATCTGTCCACAGATGCTGCCAAATGTGCCTAGTCTCTCCAGTACTTTGCTTTTATCTCTGCTTTGCATTATATTTAGAAATAACTTTGATGAAGAAACTGTGTCATACAAACTTCCCAGAAGCATTACATAAGGTAGTATAACATATAGTGTAGATGGCAGCAGAATGTTGCAAAAGGGACATCGCCAGATATACTGAATCAGCAAAACTATAGCAGATGGATTTCAATGTGGAAACATACAAGTTCATCTGCTTGGAACCTGAGGAAAACAAATCCAAAATTTTCTAAATGGTAAGAAGCTAGAAACTATGGATGGATTAACCACGCAATTTAGGGATCCCAGTATAGAAACCACTAAAATAGCTTGTGGACAAATACAATAATGTAAAGGGTTAAACAAATTTTGCATGGACGAGGCACGGTTTAAGTATTCCGTAAAATTCATCGTGCCACGAAGGCTGCGAATAATCCAGTTCAACTTCATAATCGCCGTGGAGAATGCCAAGAGCCTTAGCTTTGTGATGAGAAGTGAAGAAAGCAGTTTAACGTTCCAATACTTAGCTCGTAAAACACATTAGTTTATCCAAGACTGGATATGAGGAAAGCTGTCTGACATTGTGAAGATAATATAGAAGGGGTCGAGAGGGTGTTGGGGAAGTAGAGCAAAGTGGCAGCAGAGTATGTTTGGGGCCTGATATGCAGATTTGAAGTAACATTGCCAAGGGAGAGTATTTAGATGAGAAATAGGAGAGCAGGGCATGGTCAGGGATAGATTCGAAAGAAAGACAGACTCTAGAGGCAATAATGCAAGAGGAGAAGATAGTGCAGGTGATTTTCTGGTCATAAATAGATAGAAATGGAATGAGCTGGCATTCCCACCCATCTGAATAATGGAGGAGTATGTTGTTCAACTTGTTAAAGATTGCAGACAGGTCAAGAAGAACAAGAAAGGATATTGTATCATGGTCGTAATCAGATCAAATGTCATTTGTGACTTTGAGAAGAGTTGTTTCAGCATGGTGGCAATGATAGTAACCTGCTCAGGGAGGCAAAAATGGAATTCTAGGAAAGATTGTTTTGGATTTGAGAGGTGACAACTTTCCAAGATTTCACTTGAAAGGAGCTTGACAGTTTAATTACATGACACCAAACCAGAAATAGAAAACTGCTGTGTAGCAACAACAGTTGGACTGTTACTGTTGTACCTGTTGACATAATCAGCTGAAATCATCTTTATACTGAGTGATGCCAAAGAACTGGAAAATTGCAAAGTTACACCCTTATTCAAAAATGGATGTGAAGGTAAGCCCAGCTACTACATGCCCATCAGTTTAATTCTGTGGGGAAACTTCTGGAAAAAAATAATTGGATACAAAATTATTACATGGATGAATACAAGTTAATTACGGAAAGCCAGCATGGATTTCTTAGGAGAAAATTGTCTTACCAACTTGGGAGCTTGTTTGAGGTAGGAAAGAGGATTGATGAGGGCGATGCTGTTGAAATGGTGTACATGGACTTCCAAAAATGCACAAGATACAATAGCACACAGACTTGTATACAAAGTTAATGCTCATGGAATAAATGACATAGTAGCAGCATGGATATATAATTGATTGAGTGGCAAGAAATATAAAGTAGTGGTTAATCAATGTTTTTCAGGCTGAAAATAGTTGTGCAGTGAAGCTCCCCCCAGGTGAGCGGTAGAACCCTGGTTTTTCCCTGATATAAATTATTGACCTTGATCGTGGATGTACAAGGCACAAAATCAAAATCACAAAATTTGGAAGCATAGCTAACCCACATGAAGATACTGCAGAACTTTGAAAGACAGATAAGTTGTTGGAATGAACAGAAAGATGGTAGGCAAAGTTCAGTGCAGAGAAATTAGAAATGATCCAGTTCAATAAGAACATCACTAGAGACAATGTTAAACAAACTTCAAAGGAGACTCTTGTGGCACAGTGGTTGGGCTACCTAAGCCCAGAGGCCAGCATTCAAGTCCTACCTTCTCCAGAGGCACATAACATTTCCGAACAGATTGATTAGAAAATATCTCCAAACTCCAAAGGGGGTACAGGAACAAAGAGTCCCATGTGTATTTATGCATGAGTCATTGAAAGTGGTAAATTAGCATAGGGTTTATTAATAGGGGCATGGAGTTCAAGAACAAGAATATGCTGAACTTATCTAAAAGGCTAATTTTGCCTAAGCTGAAATGCTAGGCACGCACTTTAGATAGCAAATGAAGTTAGTAGAGAAGGTGTAGAAAAGATTCAATGAAATTTTTTTTCCCCCCCAAGGATGAGGAACTTGAGTTATGAAAGTCAACTGGAAAAGTTAGGGCTGATTTCCTTGGAAAAATGACTAAGAGTGGATTTGACTGATGAGATAGAGAGAAACTGTTCCCATTTGCAAAAAGATCAAGACCAACAGGACACAGATGCATACCTCAGAATGTGAAAGAGGCAGGTTTAATTGAAGCATTCAAATGTAAATTAGGCTGTTATCTGAAAAGACAGAATGTGTAGGATTACAGGGAAGAGTCAGGAGAACAGCACCAAGTGAATTGCTCATTTGATGCCTCAATGCAAACAACTGTCACATGGCCAATTTCTGCACTGTGACTACACTGTGCTATGAACTTCTGGATTTTCTGAAGGGTCTAGGCCCGAAACGTCAGCTTTCCTGCTCCTCTGATGCTGCTTGGCCTGCTGTGTTCATCCAGCTCTACACCTTGTTATCTTACATCATTGTGCATTTTGTGCAAGGGAAATTGTGTCTCACAAACTTGATTGAGTCTTTGAGGAAGCGATCAAAAAGATTGATGAGGGCAGAGCAGCAGACATTGTTGACTTGGATTTCAGTAAAACCTTAGATTAGGTTCTGCATCGTAGACTAAGTAGTAAAAGGTAGATCACATGGAATTCAGGGCAAGATTGCCTACTGGGTACAAAATTGACAAAGATAGGAGACAGAGGGTGGTGGCGAGGGTTGTTTTTTCGGACCGGAGGCCTGCTACCAGCAGTGTTCCACAGCGATCAGTATTAGATGAGGAGAGGCAAATGGAGTTTAATTTGGATAAATGCGAGGTATTGCATTTTGGTTAAAACAAACAAGGGCAGGACTTACACAATTAAAAGTACGGTCTTGAGTAGTGCTGTAGAACACAGACACCTAGGAGTTTAGGTACACAATTCTTTGAAATTTGCATCACACACATAGGATAATTAAGAAGGTATTTAGCATGCATGTCTTCATTGCAGTCCTTGGAGTATAGGAATTGGGACATGACGTTGAGTTTGTACAGGATGTTGGTGAGGCCTCTTTTGGAGTACTGTGTCCAATTCTGGTCACCCTGT